CTCTCTCTCTCTCTCTCTCTCTCTCTCTCTCTCTCTCTCTCTCTCTATATATATATATATATATATATATATATATATATATATATATATATGTATAATAGCGATATTACCTTTGAATTTAGCCAGTTAAAAACAAAAATTATGAAATTTCTTCTTTAGCTATGCATGTGTAGTCGAACTTGCATGAGTTATATGCATTTCTACCTTAGCCGATTGCAACTACCTGAACTATAGTATGAAATGACATTGCTCTCTTCTTGAGGAATGTTGTTTCAAACACTACAAAAAAAAAACCCCTGCAGTCCCAAGACTGCTTGGAGGCGTACACATCTCCATTGGCCAACTAAAATCCATAGAACAGCTTGAAACTTGTATACCGCTTCTTCAATACTTTTAGTCGGCATTGTTCTTATGCCGTTTCAAGAACTGGCGGTTAATTTGTATCCAAGTACTCGGGTCCGTAGAATTCGAGGTGCTTGTCCAGTGTTAGATACAGCTGGCTGAAGAGCGGCCGCTGGATGGGCTGCCAGCGCCAACACTGCTTCATCAGATCGTACCTGTGGAGAAAGCGACATCTAGCGACCGTCGTATCACCTTTTCACCTCTTTGCTATTCACAAGATATTGGAACATGTTACTAGTATATACCCTATGTGTACAGTACAGTACTGTACTGTGTTTTAGGTTCGATAAACATCATGCATTTGTCGGTGAGCAGATTATGCCTAGTTTTCCTGGCCGCCAGCCTACCTACCCCAGACTGGGCACATGATTTTATGCGGTAATCTGTTACTGGGCAAATGATTTTATGCGGTCATCTGTTACATAAATCTGACAGCTCAGGCCCAGCACCGTGGCTCTGAGAGAGATCCGTCGCTACCAGAAGTCGACGGAGTTGCTCATCCGCAAATGAATTCCTTAGTGTATTCAATGACCATATGCATTTCTGTTCCTGTCTAATACGTCGTTTTACGAAAACTATCAAACTTCTTCGAATATTCGCGATTTGAGTGCAGAAAACCAGCAGACTTACATAGCTCGCGGACAGTCTTCAGGTTGGTCCATCCTGAATCCAGCCTGTAGGCGGTCTTTCAGCTCGGATACTGCCACGTCAGGGTAAGGGTCGCCCCCTAGCGTGCAGATCTCGTACAGCACTATCCCGAAAGACCACCTGTTAAGGAAATATGATACCACGCCATGAAAATTTTAGGAGATGACATCTTAGAATTTAGGGTTAGGATTTGCGTTCGTAATGCCCTGGAGACATTGCGACCATTCACCTACTGCAATCTCTATGGCAATCACTCGATAATATTTCTTTGCAATCAGATACAGCTTCATGCACAGATACAGATTCATGTACAGATATACAGATGCAGATTTTTCCGAGTAGGGTGACCGTGTCAGTCCCTACACAGGTTTAACAGGTTGCGAATCTAAGACCCACACACTTGGGCACCCGACTTTCCCAGTGGATCCATATCGAGGGAGACGTGCTGGTTCCGGTTGGGATGCCTGCAGCGAGCTGCCGGATGACTTGGTTACGCTCAGGTCCGCATTGACTACGCCAGCCCGCCTGGCGCTGCTCTCGTCCGCCAGCTGAAGACAACTGCCGTTGGAGACTTGACCCTCTAATTGAGGGGGGATACGTGTAAAGTGCCTTTCCCAAGGGCACAACGTCGGTGCGCATGTTCGGACATGCCCCTGTGCTCCGACACGGAATCGAACCCGGGGCTCCTTGCTTGAGCGTCGAACGCTCTATCCACTACGCCACACGACGCCACTACCTACTGCAATATGTACTGTAGATTAGACTTTGAGATTGGGTATCATACGTGACTTACACTTCAGATAATGACAACTCACGCGTCACTTGGTGTAGTGTATTAGGTTATAATAACTTAGAGTTAGATATCAATTATCATAATTACACCTCAGATATTATAATAGTTCTACTCTCAATCTTACATCGCTCTGTAAGGTCTTAGGAGATTGGTTATCATAGTTAACTGCAGATATTATGATGATTACTCACACATCGCTCTTAGTAAGGTTAAGTTAGAGGTTGGTTATCATCGTTAACTGCAAGACTACTCACACATCGCTCTGTTTGGTGTTAGGTTAGAGTTAGAGAGTGGATATTATAGTAGTTAACTGCAGATATCATAATAAGATTACTCACACATCGCTCTGTGAGGTGTAGGCCTTCTCACCCTCCAGCCGCTCCGGCGCCATCCACTTCCAGGGCACCCTCTGGAGCCGGTCCTGCCGACGGTAACCTCGGCTGTAGATGTCTTCTGCCAGCCCGAAGTCAGAAATCTTCACATGCAGGCGTTTTCCGACCAGCACGTTCCGAGCGGCCAGGTCTCCGTGGACGTAACGAGACCGGGCGATGTGATCCTGGAACATGAACAACACATGAAGTTCGTGACGGTTCTGCTATTTTGCATCAATCTTGGCTAAAATCCAGCCAACTGATGCTGCGATTATGATGTTTCGTTTGGGAGCATTTCATGTATTGTATATTGTAATCCACAATTGTACAAATGAAATAGATTCTTATATACCAATTTCATGCATACGAGCAGCATCTGGTGCATTTGTGGCACCTAGTGCAGCTGTAGCACATGGTACGTCTAAAGCACACGTCACATAGCGTATGGAATTTGCAGCACGTGGAAGATCTGCAGCAATGCCTATGTTTACAGTGACTGACACACCTGCAGCACTGGCCTGGCACATATACCTCTGCAGCACCTGATAGTGGTACTCACCATGCCTTTAGCGATCTGCCGGGCCACCTGATACATCTGTATCACCTCAAAGGTGTAGATATCGTCTCCAGGTTCATCAGAGGTCTGTTGCTATGGAAACGCAAACATATATATGCACTTAAAAGTGCCCCCAAAAAACTCGTAAAAAGCCCCATGCGTCGACAACATGTATTGGCAACAAAATGACACTTAATTTCATAACAATCTGCGATTTAAAAGGCATGTTGTGAAGCACAATTAAAAGAGTAGACTAAACAAACATTTTTAACGTCCAAATGGCACAAACATATATTAAGTAAAAACAAACCTTTTTTTCCAGAATGACCCTTAATAATTTGGTCCGTTAATTTAAAAAATAGCCCATCCCCAACATTCTTAAAACGCTTGCAAAATTTAAGAAATGCTTCTTGGGGTTCCTAGCTACCAAGTTGAACGTACCACATAAAAAAAAACAACTTGTGCCTCACCTCCCGGCATTTTCTCAAGAAGCTCTTTAGGTCTCCGTACGGCATGAACTCCGTGATGAGATACAGATGGTCTCGCACCACCGTGCAACAGCCAAGCAGACCCAGCAGGTTCTTATGAACCCCCAGGTCCACAACTGCACGGATTTCCTCCAGGAAACCCAGCTTGTCCTCCTCACTGGCGTGTTCTGTGAAATGAGAAAACATTCAAAATTGGGCATAGCGTTCGTGTAAGCCATCAAAATTGTAGCGTCACGTACTAGAGGGTACTATAGAAAACTCGATTTTAAATCGTTACTAAAACAGGAATAATCACACATGATTTACTGACTGCGGGCGTTTATTTTGTTACTTACTTTTAGAAAATGTAAAGAGCTTTGAAAAAAAAACAGTTATATATCTTTTGTGCATTTTGCATATATAGTGCAGCTCCGGGAAAACAACTACACTTTCCATTCAGCCACGTTTAGAATTCGTGCACATCTCGATTAAAATCGCGTTGGAATATGGTGTGAAATGCGTACATAACCATTCATATAAAAAAATAGTTGCATTCAAAACCTTTTAGAGTTTTTACGACGACATCCTCCGTCCGGTCGTTCCGCGTCAGGGTTGCCCGGTAAACGATGCCGAACGCCCCGCTGCCGATCTTCTCACCAAGCGTCACCCTGCCGGGGTCGGTCTCTAACTTCGGGAACTGTGGCCGGGGTGGAACCGACGGGACCATCTCCTCCAATCTCCTCCTGTGGACTATACAACAACGTGGGGCAAGGATGCTGGGGTAAATGTCGAGGAGAAAAATTCGCTTGAAAAGATAAAACGCTGTCCTTACACAGAAGTGAAGTGCTTGCCGGCAAGTTTTCCAAGTCGAAATATCCAGAAGCCCCCGCTTCTGTCTTTATAATGATATTGTCATTTATCGACAAAGAAAAAAATCCCTTCAGACTATTTTCTTTTGTATTAAGTACATGTAATTACGCGTTGCCTTACATCGCATTTTTGTGAGTTTTGACATACTATCAAATAAAACAATTTGGGACTTGAAGGTATCTGTATCAAATTTTTTTTTTCAGAAGACCTGAAACCTAATTGCCCATAACCCTTTCCAGACCTAGGAGAGGCTAAAGGTGTCTGAGCTAACTTTAATGTCGGGTAGGGTCTAAGCGGCTTGCGCTAGAACCAAGAAACTGATAAGTTTTCCTAAAATATTGTTGGCAACATTTTTTGTATCAGTGTAATAAGTTAGTGATATTTTGTGTTGCGACGACAACGGGTTTCTGACATTTATTGTTTTGCGAAATTCAGTAATTTTCGTTTCAACATTAGGCTTTTATGGGTTTTATGCCAAGTGTCTCATTCTTTCTAATTTCAATAACATCTAATGCAGTTTAATGCTCTAGGGTAATCATTAAAAACGAAAAAAAGTTAAACGTTATGATGATGATGATGATGATGATGAAATGTTTTTTGAGGATAAAAACACTGGCAGCCTTACATAGGCTGAATTGTGGTTCTTTAACAATTCATTCATGTTAGAGTCATTGACAACATAATACAAAATTCTTATCACATAGATTAAAACAGGAAGGTACGATCATTCAATATAAAATTCCAGGAATATTAAAATCAAATTGGTGACTACATTTTGAAACGTTTTACTCATAAATAAGATATTCTATATAAATGGAGGCCGCACAAATATTTACATGTCATCATTCAACAGTCGTACGCAGAATTGAAACGTGCTGTTCTGATACCGGGCAGTTCTGCATTTGTACTGGGTAAAAGAGTTACTATTTCTGAGAGTTCTGAGGCGAGTATCACCCCGTATAGGTGGCAACCAGTCACGGTACTTATTAGAGTTAGCAAGTGAAGTTGCAAGTCTTAGACACAGTTCCTGGCGTCTAGCGTCAAGACGGCTGAGACCGGTAAGGTTCAGGGAAGATTGGTAGTTGGTGTAGTCATTTCCCAGTATAGTCCTTAGTGCTCTTTTCTGGACATGTTCAATTTTCAGGGACAGTTCCCTAGTCAGACGGGGTGCCATAACACGCACGCGTACTCGAGGACGGGCCGAACAAAACCAGTAAAGATGAGTATGAGATCACTTGTCTCAAGACCATGCTTCTTTAGGTTTCGTAGCACATACAGTCCTTTACTCCCTTTGCCGACAACTGCAGTCACATGCTCAGTCCACTCTAGGTCGCGCTGCAGGATAACTCCAAGGACACGTGCTGACTGTACCACCTCAAGTTGGTAGGGGCCAATTGTGATGACAGGCGGCGAGGGTGGATGCCTAGCGAAGCAAAACACCATCACTTTGCACTTTGATGGGTTTAACCGTCAACAGAACACCTTCCCGCGCGGACCCCAAAACAGTTTTTTGCTAATTTTTAGAAATTATCAACATGCTACCAGCTCAATTGTTTTGCAAACTGATGTGGGAACCTCTGTGTCCACATTACATACAAAAATCATACATTTTGAACTTTTTCTACTTTTTGGTGAAGAAAAGAAGACAAGAAGGAATAACCGATTTTTAAACCCATTTCAGACTGAAGGGGCTTTTGAGGCCCAACTTTGATCTCAGATAGCGGCTAAACGGCTTGCGCTAGAAGTATCAAATTTGGAGACCTTTCCTAAAATGTCTCTGGAAAAAAGTTCATTTTAGTTTGATACTAGTAAGTTGATGTTTTTTTGTGTTGCCATGGCAACGGGTTTCTAGCAGGCAGTTTTTTTGAAAATAGAATTACTTTTGGTTTAAACATAAAAATTTTCTGAGTTTTATATTAAATTACACTTCTTTTCCAACAGTAATAACATCTTACATAATTAAATATAAGTTAAATCATTTAATATGCATAGAATATGCTAATTTGATGACGTCATTGGTCAGAATCCAATATGGCGGACTATATTATTAGCTCTGATGTCATATGACGTCATAATTACACCAAAGTTATCAAAATTTAATTCTATTACTACACCATTCTCTGAAAACTTGGTAGACATACGATGAGTGCATAAAAACATATAAAAACGGAAATAAGGTAATGTATAAGAACGCCAGTGTATCCATTATGATCGAAAGCCGGCTGAAAAGAAAATCAGATATAATTTTTTTACTAAATAGTAGGAACGGAGTTTTCTGCACTGCATTGAGAGACAACTTTGTGGGTGACATTTACCTAAAATTTCAGAAAAAAATCTTAAGAAACAAAAAAGATATTACAGAATATATAGTGCTGGGGTCCGCGCGGACCCCAGGAGTACTGTTTAGGGTTAAAGCCATGTGGTTGTTTTCGGTCCATTGCGTCAGACCATTAATGTCGTCTTGAATTCTGGGGGCAGTGGACATATGCCGTGATTCAGCAGCAGACATATCGTCTACGTACTTAAAACTGTCAGAAAAAGTTGCATTGACTGCGAGGGCATCATTAAACAGCGCGAGAAAAACAAGCGGGCCTAGTTTTGTGCCTTGGGGTACGTCACACGTCAGAGATTGCTAGACCGAACACACGCCCTGGTACCTTACACGTTGGCGGCGGCCTGACAGAAAACTGCAGACCCATGGTACAAGCGACGGTCGAACACCGAGATCCAGCAATTTACAGATAGCAGTCTGATGGTGAACATAGTCAAAAGCTCTAGAAAAATCCGTGAGAACAAGTGTTGTTATGTAGCCTGGTTTATCCGCTGCTTCAAGGTGTACTAAACGAGTCAGGTAGTGTACTGTTGAGCAGCCATGGAGAGAACCAAACTGTCAAGGATCCAGGTTCGGACTGATATCTTGGAGGCACCAGTTACAGTCAAGTCCCTCACATATTTTTGCAAATATGGGCGTTAGCGAAATGGGTCTGAGTTTCTCTAGTCGGGGTGGCATTTCCTTGGGTACGGGTACAACGTCAGCGTCTTTGAACATGTCCGGCACCACAACCTGGCACAACGAGGCGTTCATGATGTCAGTTAAAGGAAGACTCAGCTCAAAGGCGAATTCCCTTATGATTCTAGGCGAGATGCCGTCCGGGCCAGTGGCTTTGCGAATCTTAACACTCTTCAGCCTGTTTCACATGTCCCAAACTGAGACTGCCGGTGGTGGGGCAGGGACAGGAAGGTAGGCTGGTAAGTCCTGCAGTCGGATATGTTCGTGCTTCTGTGACGCAGTAGAAAGGTAACTATTGATAGCGTTAGCTACGTCGTGAGCTGGTGACGCGGAGGCCCCTGGGACGTCGATCTTCAGCAGTCCTTTCGCCATGTTGCCCATCTCTTTAATTGCTTGGTACCACTTCTTAGGGTCGGCCGTTTTGAGGCTTTTAACCTTTTGTTGGTAGAAAGTCTTCTTCAGTTGCTGGATGTTACGAGCGATTTTGTTGCGAAGGCGTTTCACTTCTGGTAGGTTCTGTTCTCTAAAAGCCTTATGTGGGAGCAGAATCATGGCTTTCAAACCCGGCGTCACCCAAGGCTTGTCTCTTTCATGTAGTCTGACAGTCTTAGACGGAAAGAACTTCTCAATCGCGCCGCACAGGGTGGAGTAGAAAGCTGAACACTTGTCGGTTGCGCGGACTTCACTATAGACCTCTTCCCAGTCGTGCTCAGTGATCCACGATCCAAAACGACCGTAAGTCTGACTGTCGCAGGGGTCTGACGACCTTCTTCACTACTTTGTTCTGACCGTCTGAAGTTGAACAGCCCGACCAAATCACACAGTTGTGATCACTAGCGCCAAGAAGAGGGTCCACTGTTGGTGGTTGGTAACACTGTGTGATGGCATCGCTGGCGAGTACTTGATTAAGGATGGTATTTTTACGAGTCGAATCTGTTTCAGGCTTCAGAGAGTGTTCGGAACAGACGGTACTTACATCCAGTCGATTGAAATCACCAAGGACAACAACTCCGGTACCTGCATACTGTCTGCGAACGTTGTCAATAGAGTCGGCCAGGAGTTCGTCGCCACGGGTAGAGTTGGGAGCGTGATAAACGGCACAGAGAGCGATGGACGATACCGATCGAAGAAGCCAGTGTGGCCGCAGTTGAACCCATATACACTCCAAGTCGGTCGGGACAGCAATATCAAGAGGTTTTGACGGAATAGTCTGCTTAGTATACACCGCTACCCCTCCACCACGCCTGTCGGATAGGTACTTGGAGAACAAGTTAAAGTTTGGAATGTTCGTTGTCTCACTTGGCAGGTTAGGCGTAAACCAGGTTTCGGTTACAACTGCGATGTCAACTGCTGATGTAGATAATACTGCTTGAAACTCGTCCATCTTGTTTAGGAGGGACCTGGTATTTGTGAGCAGCATTCTTGGCATGCTCCGACGTCATTTCTTGATCGGTGCACGTTCCTGCTGTTGGGTAGGGACGTCAGTCAGCACACGGAATTTGCATAACAGAGTCTGTTCACCCAGTTGTTTACGCTGGAATGTTTGCGTCGTACTGTTCCCTCTGTTTTTGCATATGAAGTCAGAAGACGGCTCTACATGCCTATTACCAAGAACAGTTTGTATAACTCTCTGTAAGTTCCTACCAGCCCTTGTTCCTCTATATCTTCCCCGAATCTTCAGGACGCCAAGGCTTCTTAGGTGAGACGTCAGTAGGGGCTCAGCAGGCAGTGTCAATCTGCTGTCATTAGCCAATTATGCTAATTTGAAGACGTTTTTGGTCAAAATTTAGGATGGCGGACTATACCGTATTCACGAGTTCTGAAGGGGACAATGATCACCCGTCCCACGGGTCTAGATAGGGTTAAAATGTAGTCACTACTCATGTCTTTGACATTGGGCCAAATGTGTGCTACGACTAAACACATCTGGGCTTGTAGTACTAAGGAAAATCTAATACAGAAAAGACGGAAAGAAATAATAAAACAAACCCTGTTGACGAGAAAACGCTTTAAAGTCGACTTTGATGAAAATTGGAAACCGTACTCACTGATAACATCATCTGGTACAAAGTAAACAGTCGATTGCTGGTAGTCTTCTTCCTCTCTTTTCTTCCTCCTACGTCTTAAGTACACCGTGAAGACGACAGCTGCCACAATCAGCACTGCGGCGATACCGGCACTGGTTCCGCCGATGATGGCTTCAGTGGACATGCGACTTTCCTCTGTAGGTACAGTGTCTGTGTGTGAGAGAACTTCTCTATTTATTTGTTTATTAAGATTTACCACATTTGTGGAAGGATTGACATAACAGGTGACTATCACCTTTTCAAAGATGTCAACCCCGAGACCAGACTATAAGGTTTGAACCACTTACAACGGAAGGTCCCCTACTCTTTTCGATAAGTGTGGTGGGTTCTTTAACGTGCGTGGGGTGTGGCTCTCCCAAACACGGGACCTCCATTTAACGTCCTATCCGAGGGACGTCCCTAGCCGAAGCTAAGTACTCATTTTTACCCAGGAGTGAAGTGAGGAAAGTCGTGTAAAGTACCTTTCCCAAGCGTACAACGTCGCGGCGCATGTTCGGACTTGTTCGGGTACAACCCGGAATCGAACCCGGGTCTCCCCGTTTCATAGTCCAGTGATGTACCACTACACCACACGACGCCACTCTGGTTTGTTTTCTGGTGCCAGAACGGCAATACCAGTTCTGGTGTTATTAGTGACGAGGGTTCCGAAATAAATGTGGTATGACAACTTATTTTACCGATAATGAAAGGATCGATGTCGTCTGTAATTGTGACCTTTTTTAATAGCCATGGAATAGCTATAGCGACTCAAATTCTTGTCTTCCCCATATTACGTGCACCATGCGATGGGTATAATATGAACATCAGTTTCTGCGAGCAAATGCAATCCCTTATGTTGTTTTTTTACGTTTTTTTTCCAAAGCTGATTTTTCTGCTAGTGTGAATAAATGTTCATTAACATATAATAATATTTACTTCGTAGGTTAGAGCCTTGGATAGGTTATAGTTAAGAGCCGCTCAAGAGTACTCTTTTCTTTTAGAATTCAGATTTTAAGAAAATATCAGACGGCAGAAAAGGCTTCAGTAACTCACGTTGACAAGTCGGAATTTCTGGGTCCCAGTTGCCGTCCTCTTTGCAGATTGCATCGGACCTACCCACGAGTTCGTACCCAGGATTACAAGAGAACTGGATGTCGTTCCCAGAGCAGTAACCGTCAGTAGCACTGACTCGGCCGTTCATGATGTCGGTGGTATTGTCACAGCAGATACCTGATAATATATAAAGCTGGCATGAAGAACATTAAATGCTCTGAAAATTGAATTAAAAAAAGTCTAATGAAAATATCAACGGGGATTCATACACCACCCCAACCATCTCTGTTTGAGGGCCTAAATTTGTTCGAATACGCTGCTTATAGTGCCATAGCTGCTACACTCTTTTCTTTCTGGTAACAAAAAAGAGCAAACAAAATAAATTCTACCAGAGAAGAAACAAGTGACAACTCACGTTGGCAAGTCGGAATCTCCCGGTCCCAATTTTTGTCCTGACAGAAAGCGAAGGAGCTGCCCACAAGCTCGTATCCAGTGTCACAAGAGAACTGGATAGAATTCCCATCGCAGTAGTCATTATCAACCCTGATCTGGCCGTTCTTTATCCTGGTTGTGTTGTCACAGCAGATACCTAAAATTACAATTGTCAAAAGGGTTTCTTCACAGCAATATCAAACTTGTTACGACCATGCATGTTGGATACGTCGACTTCTCCGCAGCCGAATCTGACATGATTTTTTTTTTATTTCAAAATGCAAAAATACAAAACATGGTGGTGAAATAAAAATTACATCACAAAACATGAGTGTCGTCTAGGTAACAAGAGAACAGAATTTAGCTATCAAGATATTATAAATGAATACAGAAATATTAATCAGTTGTTTCGAGATATATAAACTTGGATCCTTTACATTCACTTAATCCTTTCTCTGAGAGGACTGCACGTGTCTTTCAGACAATAATCATCCAAGCAGAAGATGTTAAAGACGTAAAAAAAATTGTCCCGGCAGACTGCCGTTACCCGGAGGGGAAACTCTCGGTGTTCTCACGGTCACGGCGTCTTTTTGTCAGCGGGGCCCGGGTAGAATCTAAGTCAAAGTTAAATTCTTCTTGGGTCCCGGACGGGCCCAAAAATACCCCGTTAGCCATAGGGTGTCCCGCGGTGCCACGTAGGGTTCACACGCGAAAGTGCCAAAAAAACAACCCGGGAACTACCCGGCAGGGCCCCTTTTTCCAATTGGGACCGAAGCAGGGTACAGGTGTACTTTGGTCCCGAATTAAAATATGTTTTATGCTGATGATTATGTAGGTAGTTCGCGAGTTACGGGCAGTCTGAACGTCTTGGCGTCGTAGAAGGGATTGAAACGATGTATTGCGGTTGGAAATCACAGAGCAAGGCCATTTTTCGAAAAGAATTGACTTGAAAAGACCGTAATGTAGTGGTACACGCACGCCAACGCTTGAACGTTTCCGAATCGACCCATTGACCTTACACGGATGGCATGAACTTCTTACGTCACAAAATACACGGACATTTTGAATAGAACGCCGACCCAGAATTTCATTTCGGTTGTCTCCTTGTGACGTACATGTAAGCAGTTCTTGTGATCCCGATTCCAGTTTGTGCAGATTTCCGGACGTGTGGAACTTAAATTTCTAAAAGTTCCTGACATGCGCCTTTGCAAGTTAACCGTTACTTGACTGAAGGATGGCTGTCCCCTGTTTCTTTTCACCCGATATCACCAGATAGCCGATTTTCTGATATCTGAGAGCATAATACAGACCACCGCAGTGATCTGCCAAGGAGGATAGGACATCACAAGCGAAAGCCGCGTTCAACTTCCGGGCCCTAAAACGGCGTTCTATTCGAAATGAACCACTGTGACGTAAGCAGTTTATGCAATCCGTGAAAGGTGAATTACTAACGCTGTACATGTTAAAGTAGACATGTCACTAAACTTTCGACTAAAATTCTGAATTTAGTAGATTCATGCCGCATTTGTCGTAGCCGTAACTCGTTTGCTTTTAATAAATGTAACTTAATGAGTAGTGTCGCCGGGTCGCCTAGCCCTTTCCATTGCCATTTTGTTTCTGTATGCACGCTTGGGTGGCGACACTTTCTTTTGTCGTCTGATTTTTTCGATGTTGATTCCTAGTAGCACAAGATGGGCGCCTTGCCGTGTTTGTAGATTTATCGAGAAAATGCTAAATCCTAATGTAAGCTAATATGTTTAAAAAGACCAAGTGTGAACAAGGAGGCCGTGATATTTTAAAGTGAAATTGTTGCCGTATCGTACAAGCGTGTATAGTCCAGCAAGTGCCGTGGTAAGAGGGGGGCGGAAGTCATCAAAGAGCCGCGGTGATGAAATTCTAGTGATGTAATAATGACTGCTAAAGTCGCTGAGTCGCTGCTACAGTCCGCTCAAGTGTGCGAAAGTCGCTGAGTGGCGTCGTGTGGCGTAGTGGACAGAGCGTTCGACGCTCAAGCAAGGAGCCCCGGGTTCGATTCCGTGTCGGAGCACAGGGGCATGTCCGAACACGTGCCGACGTTGTGCCCTTGGGAAAGGCACTTTACACGTATCCCCCCTCAAATAGAGGGACAAGTCTCCAACGGCAGTTGTCTTCAGCTGGCGGACGAGAGCAGCGCCAGGCGGGCTGGCGTAGTCAAGGCGGACCTTGAGCGTAACCAAGTCATCCGGCAGCTCGCTGCAGGCATCCCAACCGGAACCAGCACGTCTCCCTCGATATGGATCCGCTGGGGAAGACGGACGCTCAAGGGTCTCAGATTCGCAACCTGTTATCCACCTTAAACAAATCCACGCGGAGGCCACCGTGTAAACTGTGACTATCACTCATGTTTAGGGACTGACACGGCTATCCTAGTCGGAAAAATCTCTATCTGTATATCTGTACATGAATCTGTATCTGTGCATGAATATGTATCTGTACATGAATCTGTATTTGATTGCAAATAAAGATATCGAGTGATTGCCATAGAAAGTCGCTGAAAATAAATGACCTCTTACAAATCAAAACTTGCTTAGTACAGTAATTCTATTATAATAAAGGCACTTTACACGGGGGATACGTGTAAAATACCTTTATTAGAATAGAAAAAAAGTTCCCAGAAAAAAAGTTCCTAGGGGCACAACTCATGTTCGGACATGCCCATGTGCTCGGACCCGGAATCGAATCCGGGTCTCCTTGTTTGAGCGCCGAACGCTCTACCACTTCGCCACACGACGTCACACGAGGAAAGATATTAAGTTGGTTTAATTATTTTGATATGATACTCGGCAGTCAATGCGGTATCACAACGCTTTGGTTTGTTTTTTTAGCACTGCGGATGACAATGCACAAGATACCTTTCAACAATTGTGTTACTGAAAATGCTCGGCCGTATGCCATGAGATCTTCCGTTGTTATGTACAGCAATTTCTACATTAGACCAAATGCTTTAGGCGACCTCTTATGGAAGTTTTCCACTTCTTTTAGACTGGAAAAGATCTTATATATTTAAAACTTCAATACTAGTCGTTGGCCTGAGCCTTGAGTACGAACAACCTACCCCCTCCATCTAAGGCCTAGAAAGGTAAGCCACGGGCAGTCATCTCCTATTTCATGGATCCGGAATCTAAGAAAACACTAGACGACGAAAGAGGCTTCAGTAACTCACGTTCACAAGTCGGAATTTCTCGGTCCCATATTCCGTCCTCTTGGCAGGTGGCATTGGTCCTACCGACGAGCTCGTATCCGGGGTTACAAGAGAACAGGATGTTGTTCCCAAAGCAGTACCCGCCGTCGATAGGAGTGATTTGGCCGTTCGGAAGTCCTATTGTATGTTCACAGCAGATATCTGAAGATTTAAAAAAACGAAGCAAAGTAAATTCGACATTGGAAAATTATTAGAGCAGTAGAAAACAAACATGATTTCTGGAGGGCCGAACGAAATCAGTTCTTCGATAGAAAAGTGTGTCAGGAAGTCATGGTTCTCATTTAAAAAAAAACTGCAATAGACGGCTTTGATGGATGTGATTACTAGTGTGCAAAACAAATTAACAAGAATGTTCATAAAGCACAAATAATACAATCAATGCACATGCCTTAGCAACAAGGTACAAGATACATGTACTGTGTGATTTATCAACATGTTTTCTTAGGTACACCGCGTTATTTGTTCTCTGATAAAAACTGAGTTAAGTACATAACTCCCTATATCATGATGACACTGTTTTCGAGTGGTATGGGTATGAATTTATATGTATACTACTTTTGTGTGCATGTGTGTGCAGCATAACTAAGATTTTTATGATATTTGGTGTGTCTTGAAAAGATCTCCAATTGATACAATCATGACCTCATATGATTGTCCCAAAGTTGTTATGCTTTTATTTTACTACTACACCATTCTCTAAAACTTGGTGGGTCTACAAGTGGTTGTAGTTGACTAAGCTCAAAAGCCCACCTCCCCCTCCGTGTCTGAATAGGGTTGAGAACGGGTTGACGGATGATGCTGATTTTTTATATGAAGCTAGCTTACGTAATGCTAGATTCGAAACAGCAGTATCTTATTTGCATAAATGATGTGGACATTATGTTAAGCTGTTGCATTCAATGACAGGAGCATTCAAACATATGCAACAGAGGAAACGAGGGACGGATGTAAATTATCTTTCATCATCAATGGTTATTGATGGGTTGTTATTGTCATTGTTACCTTCGCCAAGAAGGTTATGTTTTCAGTAGCGTTTGTCCGTCTGTCTGTGAACAGCCTAACTCAAGACGATTAATATGCATTGTCATGAAACTTGGTAGGTGGGTAGGTTTTTATGAGAGCTAGAAATAATTAGATTTTGGGACCCCTGGCGGCTTTCCTAGGTACTGTAGCAGAACGTCCGGTTTTGATATCTCTTGATCTGAACATGCTAGGGTAACGAATTTTGGATGACAGATAACTCTTGGGCTAGGGAACAAAAGACATGGGTATGAGTTTGCTAGCGGCTTGCTCTGGAATTGCAGGAGCATTTGTTGAAAAATCTTCGAAGGAGGATAACTCAAGAACCGGTTGACGGATTGTCATGATTTTTGGTATGTAGGTAGCTGAAGTGATGCTTCACATAATCAGATGACAATTATGCAAATCAGGAGCTAATTTGCATAATTAATGAGGACATTCTATAAAACTGCTTCGTTCGATGATTGGACTATGAAACGCGTGTGACATCTACTTGAGAATGAGAAAAACATCCGAGGATATAGATTATGTAAATGAAGACCTAATTTGCATAATTAATGGGAAATTGTTATAATTTCATAGCTGAAATTGCTGAGAATTTCGTACTTGCCATATTGAAACTTAAGTGAAGGTGAACATCAATGAAGATAATTTATTCACACCATGACCTCATTTGCATAATTTATGAGGAAGTGCTAGAATAGCCTATTTTGTTAAGATAAGGCTATCATTTGGTGGAGAATATGATCCATATGATTTAATCCATGCAAATGACTGTTATTTGCGAAAGCAATGATTAAAATTGTATAATTCGTCAACCGTCATTTGGCGAAGGTATGAGATCGTGGAACTCTTGTTTATAAATGCTTCCAATTCTGTTTCATTTTCTTAGAAATTCATATTTTGAAAATATTTTTAATATCTTTTCAGCATTCTAAGTGATTCCCTGGCTTTGTAAAACTTGAGAAATATGACATTTCCAATAGTTTCTAAATATTTGTAACCACATTCCACCACTTTTACCATTATTTACAATTATTTGAAATACTTTTTAAATATGTCAGAGGGCAGGGAATAAAGTAATTCACACATCCCTGTGAAGTACAGGGTAGTCTGGCTGGGCATCATGCATGGATGCCTTACCACAAAAGAGCAACAAGTGTCTAGCAGTGAAATCAGAAGAAGACAGAATAGTCGGATTAGCACCTAGTGCCTACTTTTATGGGGGCAATTACCCACATCTACTATTTGGTTATTTGTTAGAAATATTTCTAAATATTTCAAAAAATCAAAGAATCACATAGGCGCTTCAAATGTATTCTAAATAAGGATATCTTTGTACAGCCACTTATAAAATGCTTCAGAAATCGCTAAATGAATTCAAATATATTCAAATTTTCATTTTTAATTGATGAAAGGTTTAGAATTTTTGTTGATATTTTTTTTTCTAATTCAAAAGTATTACAAACATAGAGAAAAAATCCACACAATTAACTCAAGTGGAAAGTGGTGGGAATTTTATAACTGCGACAGATAGAATTCAAGCATTATCGATGGTCAACATTATCGATGAAATTATGCAAACAGAACATCATTTGCATAACTGATAGGCGGCAAATGCTACAATAGCATTCTCTTTTCATATACACTGTCTACTCATAACTGATATTTGCATAGAGAAGACGAAAAGTTGACATAATTCATGCAAAAATGGTATTCTTTGCATAATCAATGTGAAAGAATGTGTAATACGTCAGTTGTAAAGTCTATTTGGTAAAGGTATGAGGTTGTGCATTGTTTTTAATGTTTGTCTTTAAAGATATATATATCGCTTCCCATTTATACAACTGTCCTATTTTTTTCGTGTTTGTCGCTCTTCCTTGTTTGGACATAAAGTATTGGAGCTATAGCTATATAATGTACCTGAAACATAAACCTTTAGCTCGCACAGTGACAAACTGCTCCTTTCGGCCATATTCTGTATGGACACGTAACGGCCTAACATCGGTGGGTTGCATTCCACCTCTCTGGTCTGCCCATGGATGAGCTGGAAAGTCTGTCCACACTGGTCATTCCTGCCAACGTTCTCGTCTGGATCAACCCGCACTATTATATCAACTGTTGATTAAGTCAACAAAATATTCTGTAAAATATGTTGTTTTCTGAAAGATTTATGTACGCTGACATGCGCACAGTACAGCCCAGCACGCAGAGTAATTTTCTTCAAGCACAAAATTAAGTTGTGTACCCAGTGTTTACCCATGCCATACGCGACAAATACGCAATGCATTGGTCCCGCATTGCTCGAGCACGGTACGAATACACTGTATGTTTGTTAGATGGATAAACGGTTCATACGATGAAGTCCATATCACAATATTGTGCATCCAAAAAGGCATTCTTCTTACACTTTTTGTAGGATCATAGTCAAGGCACAGTTGAACACAAAATTTGACACGTTAACTTAATAATGCCATAGATCCTTTTGTTTACATAAACGACCTTTTTTGCTGTTCTGACGGCATTCTAAATGTATTTTGAAAAAGTATCTTCCCAACAGGAAATTTTTACAAGGAAAGGACTAATTATGCGAGCTCTACTTACTCCCTGATATACAGACAACCCCGGCATCATCGCTGTGCTCGCAGTTATGAACGCCCCATCCTGGGTGGACACATTGGGACAGGCTCGTCTCTGTGCCGGCACAGTTTACGCCATCAAGCCATATTGGCCCCGTGCCTTGGCCAAAGAAGGCGAGGGATGTTGCCTGAACTACACCTGAGTAGCCCAGCTGACGGCAAACTACATTTGCGTCACTGATGTCCCACAAGTCATCACAGATCGTTCCCCACATGCCATTGTAGAACACCTCAACTCTCCCCTCATGAGAACCTCTTCCACCTACGAGACGGACGCCTAGAAAATAAAGACATAATATTGCATATTTCTGGTTAGCATAACAAGACCGACAGGATTATAACAATATATTTGGTACGTCATTAGAAATCAGAAAACGATAGGCTTACGGCCTAAGAACGGAGTGGAAAGGCTCGTGGAATTTTGCCAGGATAATGGGCTGATTATCACCGATGCCACAAAAGTTCACAAAAGTTCAAAAGTTCATTGTGCAGCACCTCGCCGCTGTGTTTTAGCACTTCAGCTGATATACCATCGACGCCAGGCGCCTTGCCAGACTTGAGGGACTTCAGCGCTTTCTGCAGCTCTTCAATCGTGGGTGGACTGTCCAGATCATGCCGCGTCGGGCGCTGCTTAAGTCTCTCAATGGCTGCACCGTTGACAGTTGACGGTCTGTTTAGGAGTTTCTGGAAATGCTCCTTCCATCGCTTCAGGATTTCAGCCGACGTCGTGTAGTCAGCGCTGAGAACTGGGTTTGAGCCTGAGTGTCGGGGTCCGTAGACCGCCTTCAGTCCGTCGTAGAAGGCTCTGGTCATGTGAGCATCTGCATACCTCTGTAGCTCGTCCGCCTTGCAGTTCCACCACTCATTCTTCATTCGGCGGGTAGCACGTTGAAGCTTAGAGCGGGCATCTCGCAGGCGCCCTGTTGACCGTCTTGTGTTCCTTCCAGTTAGAGACTGCTGTCGGCAAGCCCTCACTTCAGCTATCAGGCTCTCTATCTCTGTGTCATTTTGATCAAACCAGTCGGCATGCCGCCGCCTTGTATGCCCAAGGACCTCTCTTGCTGCAGCGTACACCACACTGCTGACTTGACCCCATCGCTCGTTTACACTCCTGTCTGGCGAAGTGGGCTCCTGTAGCTGGTTGATCCGGTCAGACACCTTGTTTACTAGTTCCTCTGCCTTTTGAGGTAGCAGGCCCATGTCCAGTTTACGTGGAGGTTGCCTCGCACGTTTTCGGTAGACTGGTGCAATACGCAGGTTACATACCGCCCTCACCATGTAGTGGTCTGTTCCACAGGTCGCACCTCGCATCACCCTTGTAGAATGCACGTCCCTAAGGTCGTCTCTGCGCACAAGGATGTAATCCAGCAGGTGCCAGGTGCATGATCGTGGGTGCATCCAGCTGTAGTACCACTTATCAGGCATGGCAAAGAAAGTGTTAGTAATTGCCAGGTCCAATTCTGTGCAAAGCTCCAGCAACAAACTGCCGTTTGAGTTTGTCCGACCTCTTGCTTGTGTCCCTAGCACACGTCCCCAGCCAGGACGGTCGTTCCCCACGCGCGCATTAAAGTCACCAAGGACAATAAGCTTATCTGCTTTTGGTACGTCATTCAGTATATGCCCGAGTTCCGCGTAAAAGAAGTGCTAAAACACAGCGGCGAGGTGCTGCACAATAAACTTTTGTGGCTGTACCAGAGATGTTGGGAGGATGGCGCTGTACCTCAGGACTTCAAGGACGCCATGATTGTGACTGTCTACAAGCGCAAGGGCGACAGACGTGACTGTGGTAACTCTCGTGGTATCTCGCTTCTCAGTATTGCGGGTAAACTACTTGCAAAGGTGGCCTTGTCAAGACTACAAGTAATCTCAGAGGCAATACTACCGGAGAGTCAGTGCGGTTTTCGGCCAGACCGCGGCACCACAGATATGATCTTTGCCCTGAGACAACTTCAAGAAAAGGCTATGGAACAAAGGGTGGGACTCTACATCATATTTATAGATTTCACTAAGGCTTTTGACTCTGTGGGAAGGGATGCTCTCTGGCGCATTCTTGAGAAGTTCGGATGCCCACCAAGGCTACTGGGCGTCATCAAGGCCTTCCACACGGACATGCGAGCCACAGTGGCAGTCGATGGTGAAGTTTCTGACTTCTTCCAGGTCCTCCATGGTGTCAAGCAGGGATGCATATTGGCTCCCACTTTATTTGCTCTTTTTCTCGCTGCTGTTATTGAGGAAATGTCAGACGACCTCCTGGAAGGAATTTACATCCGAACTAGGTCGGACGGCGGACTCTTTAACCTAGCACGATTCAAATCCCAACGTCACGTACTGGTGAAATGCATCCGTGAGCTACTCTACGCAGATGACTCTGCTCTAGTGGCACACACACTGGACAGGATCCAGCGGCTGTTAGAAAAGTTCGCAGAAGCAGCAAGAGCTTATGGTATGACCATAAACATCAAGAAAACCGAGGTTCTCTATCAGCCTGCACCAGGGACACCGCACATACCACCGCAGGTCCTGCTGGACGGAACACCCCTTGCCGAGGCAAAAACCTTCACGTACTTGGGATCTACAGTGTCAAATGACAACTCCTTGGATAGTGAGATCGACGCACGAAGGCGGGCTGCCTCAGCTGCGTTCGGTCGTCTAAAGGACCGGCTGTGGAACGTGAAATCTATACGACTAAACACTAAGCTGAATGTCTACAGGGTGGTAGTGCTGAGTGCACTTCTTTACGGCTTAGAGGTGTCAACCCTGTATGCCCGACATGTCCGACAACTTTCTGCCCTGGTCATCTTCGTGGACTAATGGGCATCACCTGGCAGGACCGCATATCCAACGTGGAAGTCCTGAGGAGGGCGGGCATGCCTGCTATGGAAGCCATGATTACCCGCTCACAACTCAGATGGACCGGTCACGTCATCAGGATGCCTGAGGAACGACTGCCGCGGGACCTGTTGTACTCTGAACTGAAGGAGGGGTCAAGGCCCCGAGGTAGACCACGGCTGAGGTACAAGGGCACTTTAAAACGTCGGCTTGGACTGGCGGGCATCAGCCACCAACAGATGGAGACACTGGCGAGTGACCGGGCCGGATGGCGCGCGGTGGTGAGGAAGAGTGCCGAGGCTGTGCACAGACAGTGGGAAGTCCGAGAGGACATACGTGCGCGCCGACGACATGCTGCCACTGCTGCCAAGCAGGCCCCAGGAAAAATGAATGGACTCTAATTTGTACTTTTGGATATTTATTTTTGTATCATAATGATGACTCATGACTCTGTTACTAGTATTAGGAATGAACCATGTGTTTGTTGGTTTTGCGCAAGTCATAGTCTAACGTAAAGACTGACTGACATATATATATATATATATATATATATATATATATATATATATATATATATATATATATATATATATATATATATATATATATATATATATATATATATATATATATATATATATATATATATATATATATATGTATATATCACCGATGCAGTCTTCAAGCACCATGTTATTTGTCGCTACACATGGATGTCCCCTGACGCAGGGGCAGGTACAGAAACCAGATTGACTATTGACTACATCCTCATCGGCAGGAGATATAGGAGTAATGACACCAGCTGCCGAGCGTACCCCAGACCTGACTGTGGATTAGACCATGATATATAAATGAATGAAGACCTTTATTGTACAAACATACCCACTGGGTTAGGTACAATGTTAACTTGAATACACAAATATATACACAACAAGATCAATCTAGTACTAGCACTACAGTTCGTTACATAATTTCGACTTCGCTTCTCTGTGATGTTGAAAAGATAAGAACATACAAGTTTAAGGATCGAGGGTTTGTCTAAGTTCATTAAAAAGTGAATTTGTCTGTATCACTTAGGTGTGTAAAGTGGAGAAACTTCGATGTTATTCGTCTATAAAGTTCAATTCTCTCACTGTTACACAAACTACATTCTACTACAAAATGAAGTTCATCCTCTATTCTATCTAGATTACAGTATCGACAAATACTTTGTTCCAGGGGAGTGCGGTTATGTCGACCGGTCTCAATGTGTAGTTTATGGCAGCTGATCCGTAGTTTTGTGACGGCGTTTTTGTGCCGTGTGTTGTCGATATTGACAATGACAATGACAATGAACTGTACAAGTGCTCGTTGATATTTAGGTACTGTTCTTCATTGTAGGCAAACTTGAATGGTCTATAGGTCCTTAGTTTGTTTTTAGCAGGACCACCTCTGTTGTCATTGTGTATTTCTTTAAAGAAGGTTTGGATGTAAATGTCTTTTAGTCGCTGATGAATGGAGTTAATAATTTGAGACGCATTTGTGTTGTATGAGAGAGGACAGTGCCAAATGTAACCATAACCACACTCCGCTTGAAAACCATCGGCTGGTACTTTCTGGCGTAGTCTAAGCAAGTGCTTGATAGCGTTTAGGGCACCC